ATTTCCCCCGCGCAGCCGAGTTTCTCGAACATATCTCCAAACGTCCTGTCTATGTCTTGAAGTAACGCTTCTAACGGTGGCAGCCATTTCGCCCTAAATAAAAATAAAATACAATTAACATTTAAAGTTTAATTTTAAGGGAAAATTAGTAATCTATACTAATATAAAGAGGAAAGTTTTTTTTTGTATTTGATTCACGTGAAATTATAAGACAGATTATAAAAATTCTTTCACCATAAGAAAGGTAATTTATCTGTAACTACTTTTTTTAAATGTGTACTGTAATGGCTGTACATTTTTAAATTTCATGCTCAGAAAGTCGAAAAAAGCAGTTAGTCTATACTAATATTATTAAAAGGAAACATTTGTATTTTTGTAAATTATTGATTCACGTAAAAATTACAAGACAGATTTATTTGTGAGTAACATAGGCTGTATTTTTTTTAAATTCCAAGCGGAAGAAGTCGCGAGCAACAGCTAGTAACATAAAGAGGAAAGATTTGTATTTTTGTAAATATTGAAAAAACTTAAATACTACTGGGGCGATTTTAAAAATTTTAACATTAAAAACCTACATTATATTTTTTACTATTTTTTTAATCCCACGTGAACGAAGTCGCGGGTTACTGATAGTATTACATACTTGATACGGTTCATTTTGATTTCGAGCTGTTTGCTGACGTCACCGGAGCTCTCTACGTCATTCTTCAGTTTTGCTATCATCTGCTCACGTTCTTCATACTCCTTTACGGCCTGGAAAGTACATTTAGGACTCAAAAACTACTACTAAACTATTTCACTACAATCATAGAATCCGTAGTCAGTAACTAATTTAACACGATTTAAAAAAATATATTGCGTGTACAATCGGAGAGTTTCGTGTACAGTCGTGTAAAATCGGTTATGATCGTGTAGTATCGACTACAGTCGTGTAACATCGCGAACAGTCGTGCACAGAAGTGTAATAAGGTAGATGTAGTTCATGAAATATAATCTGGTATAGTCAGGTACAATCATGAATAGTAGTGTATGGTCTAATACAGTCATGCACAACAGTGCAATCTGGCAGCCTTTGACATTAGTATGATCTGGTACAGTCGTGTAATCAGGTACTATCATGTAGTCATCTAAGTAGTGTAATAGTGCACAGTTATGTGCAGAAGTGTGTTGGTACAATCGTATAATCATTCACAGCAGTGTAGGTCTGATACATTCGTGTACAGATATGAAACCACTACTGTAATCAACTGTACTAATACTGTACTACTACTGTACTGTAATCAAGTACAATCAGGTACAATACTGCCCGTAGTGTATTCGTTTACAGTTATCACGTAGTGTAATCTGGTACAATCTTCAAGAAATGCAGTTATGTACAGTTCTGCACGAAATGTAAACATGTACAGTCCTGTAGTCATTGTATCAGTCGTTGTAGTCAAGTATTGTGCGTGTGGTACAGTCGTGTAGTCATTCACAGTAGTGTAATCTGGAACAATCGTGCACAATAGTGTGGTCCGATACAGTCCTGTAGTCAAACATATACTGTATCCGTGTACAGTCGTGCACAGTAGTGCGATCAGGTACAATCGTGTAGTCAGCATTGGTATTGTGCGTGTGGTACAGTCGTGTAGTCATTCGTAGTTGTGTAATCGGGCACAGTCGTGCACAGTAGTATGGTCTGATACAGTCGTCTAGTCATGCACATAGTGTATTCGTGTACAGTCGTGCACAGTAGTGTGATATGGTAAGATCGTGTAGTCATCATAACTATTGTGCGTGTGGTACAATCATATAGTGATTTACAGCGGTGTAATATAGTACAGTCGTGCATAATAGTGTCCGATAGTCGTGTAGTCAAGCACATAGTGTATTCGTGAACAGTCGTGTACAAGAGTGTAATGTAAAGTCGTAGTGTCTCTCACCCTGTCATCCCCTTCATCCATGCAGTTAACCCTGGCCTGCAGCTCGTAGCAGTGCGCCATCAATTCATTGACCTCACTGGGCAGCACCGCAAAGTCCTCAGTGTAAGGAAAGTCGGGGTCGTTCGGTAGTTTATTATTACAACATCTTTTGGCCTCGATTAGCTTCTCTTTGGCATTCGTTTTTACACGAATTAGTTGATTATCTATGTTCTCTAATGTTGCCTGAAATGTAATAATTAAATGATAGCTAGTCACAAATATAAGATTTATATTTTTGTATGTATTAAAATAACTCAAAAACTATTGGGCCGATTTTAAAAATTCCTTCACCAGTTAAAAGCTACGTTATCAGTGAGGGATATAGGCTATGTTTTGTACTAGTTTCAAATTCCATGTGGTAATTATATCAATATTTTTAAAGATTAATAGGCAAACAAAATGAAAACTTCCTTTCAAATTTAAAAGAACTTAGTATTTATCAAGTAAAAATTCATGAAGCGAATATTGTCTAAATAGGAGTCATAGAAATGTCGATAGTTTAATAAAAATATAAATAAATAAAACTCACTTCCACGTTTCTCATCTCGTATTTCAATTCTCGTAATTTTCTTTCTTCACAAACTATGGAGTGTCTGTTAAAATCTAATTTCACCTGAAAATTGAAAAAAAATGTTGATAAACATTTTAAAGGAGAATCATTAATTATTGTTTTTTTTTACATGTTTTTAAAAAACTCAAAATTCATTTTCTTGAGAGGTTTAAATTTTTTTTGTAAAATCTGTGCAATGGTCAAATACATTTTTTAAAATCATAATCATATAAATGCGAAAGTATGAATGGATGTTTGTTGCCACGTTTTTCTAAAACGTCTTAATGGGTTTCAATGAAATTTGTCGTCATGGGTTGATTAGATTTTTTTTTTAATATAGAGCGTAAAGTCGCGATCAAAAGTTAGCAAAAAATCATTTATTTAACACATAGGCTACTCACTTTCTTTTTTTAATTCCACGCGGACGGAGTCGCAGGCGAAAACTAATCATAATTTTGTAATTTCATGTAACTTTGCATAGGAAACTTATACAGATTATTAATGTTATTTTCTTTCAAAATTATTTAAGTAATTACCTTACATATCTCCATACTAATGATTTTATCCTGCAATCTTCTCATAGTGCCAGTTAATTCCTGATGTCGTTGGCACAGCTTCATGACGCACTCCCGCTGCTTCTGTTTACATCTACTTCTCTCCACTTCTATATTCAATGTCGGCTCGTTCTCAATATCTTCTACCTTTTTTATTTGTAGACGGATTTGTGCGGATAGTGTTCTAACCTAGAAATTTTGATTAAAATTAAATAAAAATTGCAAATACACAAATGACAATGAAGGCCCTTGACATGGATATCAATTACCGTTACCATGGCAACCTTGCTTCTTTGATGCTATTTATTTATGGTTTTTGTCCCTTTCCCGAATGGAATTTTTTTCCAATTTAATTACCTCTTAATATTAAGAGCATAACAAAATGTATAGCCTAAAGCGTGTAAGTGTAGGGGTTATTATTAAAAGAATAATTCATAAACATACTGTGACTAGCGTTCGCCCGCGACTCCGTCCGCGCGGAATAAACAAAAACAAAAGCAAATAGTCTATGTGTTCTTCCAGATTATCCTCTACATCTATGCCAAATTAAATCAAGATCCCGTCAGCAATTTAGATTACAAACTCTAACAAACATCCATCCAAACTTTCGCAATTATAATATTAGTAAGATTGACATCCTACATAACTGTTTGTAAGTAACTGTTTAACAATGGTAGAGCCCGCTTTAACAACTTCGCACGAATAGGCCGACTCGCCCCCAGCAATACCACGAACACACAGAAAACAGGCGTCAAGTGGAAGCAATTCTGTGTATAGTCTGATGAGTGTGGAGCCGGAGGCCTAATTTTACTCCCTTTTCCTTTCCACCCTTTTCTTAAGAAGAAAGGACGGGAAGGAAAAGTGGATTGATAGTGGAGGAGACGCATACGAAGGGGAAATGTCCTCTTCATGTGCGTCTCCTCCTTCGTCAATGAAGGGTAGGCAGCGCATCTGCAATTTCGGATGTTTATGGGCAGCGGTCGCTTTCCATTTCGGTGGATTCAGGTGGCCGCTTGCAAGTTTGCCAACTTATGTTATAAAATAAAAGTAACCCTTAAAAGTTTTTATTTTCCCCATATGTTAAAAACGATAAATCCATCTTACTTTTTCAACATTTTCATGAATAACTCTCCTCGCTGCGTTTAACTTGTTTAATTCGGTTTCTAAAGACATCAGTTTATTGTCAATTTCTTCCATCCTTATACTGTGTTGCCGAGAAGTCTCTTGATGTTTTGTTAATCTGGAAATTTTTATATCAAATAAGTAAAATATTCTAAAACGAGCTAAAAAAGGGATAACATTCAACAATGGATATTTAAACGTCACTCTGTTTACTATCCAGTTTACATATATTTTTTTATAACATAAGAAGGCAAACGAGCAAGCGGCCACCTGAATCCACCGAAATGGAAAGCGACCGCTGCCCATAAACATCCGCAATTGCAGATGCGTTGCCTACTTTTTATTGA